TCACAGATGTTTAAATCATCATATTTGTGGAAAAATACTGCCGTGTGTAACAACATCCCCTGAAAACACTAAATACTTCTATATGTGCTTAGTTTCGTTGTTTTGGATGCTTTTTCCTCCAAACACCAGTTAAAACTGGAAAATCAGAATTAACTGATGGAAGGATAAGACTTGTCCCTGAAGAAAAGTTAAGACATTTTTCCTCTAAGTTCTGCGGTGTCCTTTTGATATACTTATTTTCTCATTATGCAGTGGTGTTATGATCAACTCCTCATTACCATTCTCTAATTTTCTCCTGTCTACACTCCAAGTGACCTTCTATAATGAGATTCTCTTTTGAGAATCATTTCCTCCTCACATTTGAAAATATCATAGTGTTTTAATTACTATTTTCCTATTTAACATTGTCTGGTAATTATCACACAATTTACCTTTCTAAGCGGCATTATAAAAAAGGTGTCTTTCTCACGTTACTTTTGTTTTTCCTTAATGACAACAATAGTTTTGGAAAGAACGTATATGTGGGAATTAAGGAAATGACTGACATCTCCAAAACCTATTCTATTGACATGCTCAAAACACACTGTCATTTAGAATGATCTGAGAACCCAGAGCTCCTATGGGCCAGCACAATCCTGGCCAACACCCACTCTCAAACGACCCACTGAGACACAGCCAGCCTATTTGTTGCTGACCATGAGCTATTAAGTGAGATAGAGCTGAGATGCACTCAGATTCCCCCAATCCCTGCACAACTAAAAACACAGTGAATGGCATGTGGCTCAGCGACTCTCCTAGCCGGGGAAAGAATCTCTTCCTCATAGGTGCATGTGGTATATCTGTAGAGAGACTTAATCTCTTCTCCAGAGTTCTCGGTTTTTACTCACGTATTAGTTAGCAGAGAATCTTCTGATAACATATGACTTGTAGGAGCTTGCCTTTCTCATCTAAATCATTCTGGAAAACATCTGGGTTTTCCTAGGATTCAGCTTATTTTGCCAGAATTATTATTTTTTTCCCCATTTGGCCCTTCGTGATGGATTATTCTTAATTATTTTATCTGCTTTTTTTCAGAAATGAAAACAATTGCAACTGCACGTAGGTCTAGAGACTTCCCCTTTCATCTCTGCTTTGGGAGCAGTTGGCTTTAACTGGAAAGAGTAATTTTAATGAGTCCCCCTGAGACTAGGAGATGTAGACATTTTTAATTGAAACACCATGAACTGTAGCTTTTATGAGGAAACTTTTAGTTTGTATTTGGTTCCTACTAATAATGTTTTAACTCAGTAGGAGACAGAAGTATATTTGCCTTATCTGTGTATATTTTGATAACAAAAAACAACAGTATAAACTTTTTTTGGTGGCTAGTTGTGTGAAGAACGTACTGCTCTTTAATCTAGTGTATCCTTGCTTTTTTATCTTTAGCTGTATTTTCTATTTTAAATAGTCAGGCAACAAGCGTGCATGAAATCTCACCTTGCATGCAGGTCTGCCCGCAACAACCTGAGAGCTCAGCTCCACAGCGAATCCCCATGTCTCCTAATAAATTGGCTCTGTGACTAAGGTATATATAGTCTTTCCTTTGAGATCACTGGTAATTGCTTTGAAAAAGTTACTACTTTAAAGTACTGGAGCTTCAGATAATGGTTTTTCAAGTTCAGCTTTTAAATGTGAATTAGATGTTTGATGGAGTGTGGCAATTTAGAAAAAAAAATTAAATATTCAGGAGTTACTATAGGGCATTACTAATGTTACGAATGTTAGAATAGAACTATGTAGCCTCATCCCTTGTCTTTGTAAATGAGGAAACTGGGGGTAGGGTCGTGAAAGATCTCACCTGAAAACACAGCTCCTTAGCAGGGAAGTTTGTATAAAACTGTGTTCTAGGTATTTGTCCTTCAACTTCAAATCCCTACACATGAGTGTCATGCAGCTAAGGCAGGGCAATAATCAGTCACAGCAATCTTTGCATCTGAGTTCTGACCCAGCCGCACAATCTTCAGTGAGAAGCTGATGTCAGACTTGCCCTACAAACTGTAATGTCTTTGAGCCTCAGTTCCTGGTCTGCGAACAGGAGCCAACGTACCTAACTTACAAAGGTATCATAATGAATAAATAAACAAGTGTGTATCAAAGTACTTTGCAAACTGTAATGACAAATTTAAAATAAAACTTATTAATATCAGCAAACCATTATCATTTTCTAATGCCCTTCTGTTTGATTCTAGCCCTTTCCAGAATCAACTTGGCCAAAATGTAGAAAAAAATCTAAATTTTACTTTATTATAACTAAAACCTTTCAACTGAATGGGGATGTCTCAACTTATTTGAGGCTTTTGTAGAAATAAAAATAAAAGATCATAATAAGCAAACAAACCATAAATGAGGAAAGACACCCAAATCTTATAATTTAGAATTAATCATTTGAACATTAGGTAAACTTATTTACAAATTTTTCTCTATGAATATATACCTAAAAGAGGATGATTATTTAATAATGTTTATATAAAACCTGGATTCTTTTATACATGGCATTTCAATATTTTATCATCTCAAGGGAGGTTAACTCAAAAATTTCTGGAACAGAAATAGTTAGGCTTTGCGTTAAAATAGTTAATTGAACATGTACATTTTCTGTTTTCCTTCTAGAAATCACAATAACATGTTAATAAGGTATTAAAAGACTATAGACCCAGAGCAACAAAAAGGAGAAAAGGAGGAAGCAATGAGCATGTAATAGATAACAACGTCTGTGTGAAAAATGGAGAGGAAATAGATGCATGGTCAGTGTTAAATCAGGGGACAGGCAACACAGCCAAATTCTCATGTAGAGGTGGGAGGAAATAAGATTGTCCAGTAGAAATCCAAAGATGTCTGTACATGTCAATGCTAGTTATAGAAAAAGGTGAGATCAAAATATGGAGCTTAAAATTGGCAGATTAACAGAAAATCTATATGTTAAATAGTCAACATTCCAATCCCACTGCTGCTATGTACGGGCCATCTCTCCATTCATCTCTCAATCACCTTACAGCCTAGCCTGACAGTAGACCAGCTCCACCCAACAGCTCTGAGCTCCCAGACAGCCTGGTGTTGACTGACAATAGACCACAAAGGCAGCAAAGATCACCAGACACAGAAAAGTGTCCTGTGCAAAAGAAAGCAAAATATCCACTGTCAGAAGAAAACAAAAATGAGAAGTAAGAGAGTCAAAAATTTTCATTCATGACATGAAAGTTTTAAAACAAATATTGCAAGAAAAAATAACAAGGGAAAAATTAGACTGTTGTAAAAAAAAAAATTCTTTACCAAAAAAATAAATAAATAAATAAATGACACTAACATGCATTGCAATAAATAACAAAGTAAACACCATGTATTACTTTTTGTCTTTTTGTCTTTTAGAATAAACCTATACAAAAAGCATGAAAGGTGAATCATGGTGAGAGAATAGAATGTATTACCAACCCAGACAATAAAAATTAAAATTGCCAATCAAAGTCAGGGATAGGATTAAGAAAGAGACTGTGGGAGGCCCAGGACTGTGGTACACACCTATAATTTCAGCACTTTGGGAGGCCAAAGCAGAAGGGTCATTTTAGGCCAGGAGTTCAAGACCAGCCTTGGCAACATAGTGAGCCTTATCTACAAGATATGAAAATATTAGTGGACATGGTGGTGGTTGAGTACGCCTGTAGTCACAGCTACTCAAGCGGCTGAGGTGGGAGGATCGCTTGAGCCCAGGAGTTTAAGGCTGCAGTGAGCTATGACTGCTCCACTGCACAAGGATTGACATAAGAGTGGAATGTCATAGAAATGTTTAAATATGCACATGCAAAAGTAGAAAAATTTTATCTGTGATATTTTAAAACAGGGAAGGAAAAATTACTCAATAAATGTTGTTCCTACAACTGCCTGACCATTTCTAAAAATACAAAAATGACATTTATTAATACCACACTTCTCACGCCAAAATAAATTCCAGATGGTTGAAAATTTAGACAGATGAAACAAAAATAAAATGTTAGTCAAACTCTGAATTCACGAATGGATAGTAAATATGACATTGGAGTAGGGAAGGATTTTTTTTTTTCTAAATGTAACACATAAATAAGAAACTATGAAAGAAAAATAAAATCATCTGGATGGAAAAAATTTTCATTAAATTTAATGCAGTGAACTTAGAAAATATTTGCAATATATATAATTTAAAAGGTTTAATAAATCTTTTAATAAAAATGTTTTACTATATAAAGCTTTTATTATAAAATATAAGGCTCTAAAATTGTTTTTTAAATCCTTGAACAATCATTTCACAATGTAAGAAATACAAATGATAAAAATATAAGAAATTATTGATTTCATTAGTAATTAAGAAAAGGCTAATTAAAATATGAAGAATATATATTTTACCAATGAATTTGGAAGTATTTCCAATACTAATAATACTATCCTAAGGATGTGCGAACACTATCATGCTCACTTTGAAGATATCCCAGAAATTCCACTTCTAGGAATGTATGCTTCCCTTCCAAAAACACGAAACTGCGAAAATAGAAGCAAATCGTGTTCATTTCAACATTGTTTATGATGGGAAAGTTAGAAATAATTTAAAAGTATGTCTTCAGTGGAATGATTTAAATTGGAATACAATATTATTTTATATCAACTATTGGAAGTAAATGAAAGGATATCCAATTATTTTGGGAAAAAATCGATTTATAAAGTGAACATCACACACTTAAAACTAGGCAGCGGTTCTTTCTGGAAGGTGAGATTGTACTTTCTACTTCTCTGTTGTTTACTTTTTATAATAAGCATATTTCTTTTTCCTAAATAAGGTAATTAAAATAAAACAATAAAATCTTAGTACCAGCTCCTCCATGGAGCAGAGAAATAGGTGAGTAAAGAAGTGCACACATTCAAGTCTTTCTGTCTATTCTAGAAAACGCAGTGCTTTTCTGTGAGGCTAATAATCGCATTTTGTTTTCTCCTGCTAGGGAAAGGTGAGCATGGGAAACCCTACCCTCTGACTGAGGAGGACCACGATGACTCAGCTTACAGGGAAAACGGTTTCAATATTTTCGTGAGCAACAACATTGCTCTAGAGCGCTCCTTGCCGGACATTCGCCATGCAAAGTGAGTACCAGCACATGGGGTGTGCAGGGTGGGGGCTTCTGATTCTTTGTTCTATTATTCTTTCATGTATATCGCTATTTGATAGGTAACCCAAATTTTGCCTTCATAATTTTAATAAAAACTTTTTTTTTAGTTCATCATCTTAAATACGTTTGATCTCAATTGGAATAACCTTTAAAATTCCAGAAGCATAAGTACTGACTCTCTGAAACTTAATTCCATACACATTTTAAAACTGGATTATGTCTGCCAAAATGAAATATTTGAAGATAATGTTTGTATTTACCTTTGATCGTGTAGATTGTGAAGTGAACGTTTTCCTCTGGTTACTGGTGCTGTCGGAATTGTCTTCCAGGGATCTCATTCTCACTTCTCCCATAAAGAATGCCATAAACGAATGCATCCATAATACTAAGGTAGTGGTTGTTGGTTCAATTTCCTGTCACCTATGAACTGCTTGTGGCTTGTGGCAATGGACGGTGAGTTCAGTTTGTATTGAATCATAACTAAATATTACAGTATAAATGGAAGCAAAAATAGTACTCTATACAGTTACCTGAAATCCATCTCCTCTCCACCCATCCCGTCTGCCTCTTCCATGGCTTATTGGACTTTGTGCTCTAATCTGTGATGGTTTTCCTGATAGCCTAAACAACACGAAAATGATGCCTGGAGCATAGAATGTGACCAGAATTTGGGACATGGCACTGACATGTGTATTTGATACGTCTATACAGCTGTATTAACACAGCTGCCCTCTACCCACCTCAATTTCCCTTTGGAAATGAGTGAGAAAAAGAAAATCAGAGAAAAAAAAATCAGGGCAACTAACGAAAATAAGTATGGGGATTCTAAATTAAATCAGTCATATATAAATAAAACTATTAACTTCGTGCAAAGATAATTTACCCTTTGGAAAAAATTAGTGAATATGGTTTGGAAGACTATTTTCTAGTTGCCATATTGTGTCTCTATCCATTTATTTTAAAATATGAAACAGTTGCTGATTTTCTCCTTAGGTTTCATGTGAATTTACATTTCCCACTATGGGTAAGCAGAGGGTTAATGTGAAGAACAAATTAATTTTTTCATAAACTGAATGCTATAAATAGTAGCCCAGGTCTTTCAGCCAGCAGAATTGCTCCCGGGTTCCCTGAACTTATCTACAGTGATTCCCACTGACCAAGAACATTCCTACTTGAGAGAAATTTTAATACCTAATTGCACACCATCAAAGATGTGTTAAATTGCATTGTTGGCATAATAAATATGGCCAGAGAATAATTTCCATGCATCTACTTCCTCCCCACCCCACACTGCCAATCATGCGTATCAGGTGGAAAGCGTTGCAGATGGAAACTGTGTGGAAAATCACTGACGTCAAAACAAGGTGGATATCCCCATTCTTCTCAGAGAGGGCATTTTTACTGTGACCACCACCTTCAGAAACAAGATATTCCTAGCTTATAATGGAAACGAAATTGAAAGATGGAAAGAAAATTAGTTTGACACTTTTATTAGAGTTACTGAATTAACAGTATGAAGAAAACATTATTCTAAGTGTTGAGGAAGAAGAATGTGGCCAAAATAGAATCATGATCATATTCTTAGTTACTGAGGCTGGATATCTGAAGGACAAATGGTCTTGAAGTAAAATGACACCAAAAAAAGCAACAATAACAACAACAACAACAAACAACAAACCAAAAACGCTAACAGAGGGTCTGAGATGGATAACAAGAAAGTATTAAGTATGAGCCTTCCAAGAATAATGGTTTATCTTTGTTAGTTCAGTGTTTAGACTCCCAGAAATGTTGGAAGAAAAGTTTGATGAAGTTACCTCTGATCTTGTCAAAGACCCAACTTTAGGAAACCAAGAGCCAAAATGTCTTACAAGGATTCCACCGTTTGAAGTTTGGTGCTTTTGACTTCATCTGTGCTTCTCAAAACGCGAGTGTACTTAACTGCAAGAGTCTGCAGCATTGTGTAAGGGACCCTTGAAATTATAACATCAATTTGCCAAATATTTTATGATTATCAGTTTAACTGGGCTGCAGGCATAACTGACCATAGCGTGTTGATATTGACATAATCTATAGAAGCGAATGGATAATTTGTGTTATTTTATTTTTTTATTTTGAGATGGAGTCTCACTCTGTCGCTCAGGCTGGAGGGCAGTGGCCTCATCACAGCTCACTGCAGCCTCCTGGGCTCAAGCAATCCTCCTGCCTCAGCCTCCTGAGTAGCTGGGACTATAGGCGGACGCCACCATGCCCTGCTACTTTTTCTATTTTTTGTAGGGCCGGGGTCTTGTTCTTGCTCAGGCTAGTCTCAAACTCCTGACCTCAAGTGACCCTCCCACCTCAGCCTCCCAGAGTGCTAGGATTACAGGCATGAGACACCATGCTCAGCCTTGTGTGACCTTGAAAACAAAATATAACAGCTCTAAGAAGCTTTGCATTTTTAGTCAGCCAATTGAAACTGCAGGCTCAGAGTGCCAGGAGGGATTCACTCTAGGATTTTGCAATGGAAAATCCTGGGGAATAAAATCTTGTGAATTTGCTTAACTTGATCTTCATTCTAAGACATATTAGTAGCACTTGTGGCCTTGTGTGACACTATAGGTCACCATGCAGGGACCCTTTCACACTCTCACATTTAGTAAAAAGTTCATGGTTATAGGTGTTTTGACATGCTTAAAGCACATTCTAATCCACTGTGAAGAATAGTCAGGACAAGTTATTTCAGAGACTTCAATCCACAGGCACTTAAAAAAATTTTTTCTACTCCTTTCTTCTTCACTAGTATAAAAATGAACTGCTTTCTTTTGGCTCTGTTGTTTCAGAGTCAGTAATAAAGTTTCCATAAGCAGGAGCCATAGATAAAGCACGGTTATTTGGTATGTGTGCAATAATTTGATCAACCTTACTTTTACCCTAATAATAAATTTCAACTTTTCACTTATGTTTTCAAATTTATTACATTTTTTCCAAATGCTAAAAGCATTTCTCTGTCTTAAAAAGTGTTTAGATTTTTCACACCATCTATGCTTTGGTATTGTTGAATTTTTCACCTCTTATTCCATACTCCTAGTCCTACACTTTTTGTTGACTTTTGCATTTATTTTTTGAGGATATACTCTATGTATTTTAAATACTTATACCTTCCTTCTGTGAACGCCAAGTCATGTCTGTGTCTATAGTGCCTACGCTTGGCCTGAAATCTGTCCTTTGAACATCTTGTCTTTATATTTTATTCAATGCAATGTTAATAATAAATGCTTCTGCATGGGGAATGTCTAGTCAATGCATAGCTTCCTGGCCTGGCTTCATTTTGCCACACTTAATTTTTATCTCTATCTGCATATTGATTGCCCATTGTTTTTTTATTCAGTCACCAACCTGGGGTGCAACATATATTCTTTGTATGCTATAGAAGGTCTTACTTGACCTCCAGTTCCTGATGGGAGATATAAGACATCTATTTGAAATACAAAATACATATGAAAAATGGAAATAGAAAACTATGTAAGAATGGCCTGCATAGTAAAGAAGCTCTGATAAACTTATGCATGAATATATTGTTACTCAGATAATATTGAAGATTATTCTAGCAAATATTGCTTCCTAGATATGAAAAATATTCATCACAAGTCATAAGAAATACTCCCCAAAGCATGGTATGGTTAATGTATGGAAGAAAAATTCACATCTATGAGAAAAGGAAATATCTGCGATTAGGAGACATAGAGCTCTTATAATAGGAAAGTTGAGGTAGGCTTCACAGAGGATTCAGTTAAATGCATCTTTGACATTAGCTCCACTTTTTTGCTGATCTACTATAAAAGCATACATTTTTATACAGATAAATATTCATGCACATACATATTCCTTGAGATGCACTTCTAAGATGGCAGAGTAGCTACATATTTAAAAATTAAAATAGTCTTACTTTGTATTGTGGCTTTTCCTTTTCTTTTATTATTTCTTTTTTATATCTCTGATATTGCTGAGATAACAATAGTTTTAGCTTGGTGACTTTGACAATAAACAAGAGTTTTGAGTGTTGAGGAAAAAAGCTCAGATATCTCTTGACAAAATAGTAGAATGTTTACAACATCTTGGATCATATGATCGCTTGCAGGAGTGTTGCAGTCATATCAGACTGATATGTCACAATCCTCTTCCCTATGGCGTCAAAGCCATCTGAGAGATAATCCCAGGAATGATTTGCTACTGAATTTTCCCTTTACTGTTGGTGAGACCCTGCTGGTTAGCGTGGTTTAGAGGCAGGCCAAGTGCGAAACCTAGTGCTGGACTCCAGAATGAGTCGCAGACGCTGCCCGTGCTGCACAGCGGGCAATGGTAAAACTGAGGATATTCGGGGCAGAGTCAGGGACTGGTCTTGGCAGGCAAGCAGATCCCCAAACAGAAAACTGGAGAAGGAGCTGAGCCAAGTTATGGGAAGCTCCGAAACCGCAACTCATTAATCCTGTCTATTTTCTCCTGGAAAGAGTGTCTGAGAAGATGGGGGGAGGCCAGGAGCACTCTTCTGATGACAGTCCTGCCGCACGGGAGCGTCCATCCAGGAAAGGCGTCTCCTCCCCTGATAAACAGCGTACAGTGTTCACTTTGTATACAAACGGAAAAGGCCATTTCTCAATACATACAGACTTTTGAGTAAATTTTTTATTTTTTTCAGTGCCTTGTATTATTCTAAATACCCCTGCCTTCCAGGGAGTATGTTGAATAATAATTCTAAGAATATCGACTTCCATGATGTGTGCACTGTGATGCTGATCAAGTCAACGTGGAATTTTTTTTTTTTTTATTTCGGCATATTATGGGGGTACAGACTTTAAGGTTTCAATAAATGCCCATTTCCCCCCCTCCCCCCACAAGTCTGAGTCTCCAGCATGACCATCCCCCAGAGGGTGCACATCTCACTCATTATGTATGTATATACCCGCCCCCCTCCCCCTCCCACCTGCCCAATACCCT